AATATCCTTGATGATCATAAATCCAAAATCCGCAACAAAATATTAGCAAACCAAATTCAACAATACACTAAAAGGATCCTATAACACAATCAAGTGAAACTAATTGCTGGTATGCAAGAGTGGTTCAACATCCATAAGTCAACAGGATATATGACATTAACAAAATGAAGAATAAAATCATGTAATCATCTCAATCCATACAGAAAAAGCATTGGACAAAATTCAACATCCATTTATTATTAAAAACTCTCAACAAAGTGAATATACACAGGAAAATTATCTCAGTCCAATAAAGGTCATATATAACGAACCACAGCTAATGTACTCAATGGTGAAAATCTGAAAGCTTTTCCTCTAAGATCAGGACAAGACAAGGATGTACCCTCTGACACTTTTATTCAACACTAGAGGCCGAATGCATGAAATTCATGCACAGGTGTGTCCCTCTCAGCCCAGCCTGCACCCTCTCCAATCTGGGACTCCTCGAGGGATGTCTAGGACTGGTAACGATGCCAGCGCTCTGCCCTGATGCTATGGGCACCGCCATCTTTGTAGCGGAGTGATGGTTAATTTGCACATTACTCTTTTTATTAGATAGGACTAGATAGGATAGGTGCCTGGTGCATGGGTGGGGGCCAGCTGGTTTGCCCTGAAGGGTGTCCTGGATCAGGGTAGGGGTTCCCTTGGGGTGTGGAGCGACCTAGATGAGGGACCAGTGGTGGTTTGCAGGCCAGCCACGCCCCCCAGTAACCCAAGCGGAGGCCCCTGGTATCTGGGATTTATTTGTCTTCTATAACTAAAACTTTGTAGCCTTCAGCAGAGCCAAGCCTCCTGCTTGCTTGGTGGCCGCAGCCATTTTTGTTGGGATTTATTTATCTTCTATAATTGAAACTTTGTAGCCTTAAGCAGAGGCCAACGCAGGACAAGGCAGGCAGAAAGCTTGGCTTCCATTGCCGGGGAAATCCAAGCATCCTGCTCTCTCCATGGCTATAGCCATCTTGGTTGGGTTAATTTGCATACTCGCTCCTGATTGGTTGGTGGGTGTGGCTTGTGGGTGTAGCAGTGGTATGGCCAATTTGCATGTTACTCTTTTATTTGATAAGACTAGAGCCCAGTGTATGAAATCATGCACTTTGGGGGGGTGTCCGCCAGCTTAGCCTGTGCCCTCTCACAATGCAGGAGCCCTGTGATTGATCGCCCCAAAGTGGTAAGCACTGCCCACCAATCTGGGGCTCCTTGATGAATTACCCCAAAGAGGTGGGCCGGAGCCGGTGGTCTTGCTTCCACTGTGCATGCAGTCATGTTGTGACGGTATAAGGGCATCACACATGAGGGCGTGACAACTACTTAGCTTTTTATTAGTAAGAATAGTACTGGAAGTTCTAGTCAAAGCAATTAGACAAGAAAAAGAAATTAAAGGCATAGAAATCAGAAAGGAAGAAGTAGAACTGTATTTGCACATGATGTCATAACTACATATAAAAAAAAAACCCTAAAGACTTCATCAAAAAATTGTTATAATAAATGAACTCAGTATAATTGCAGGATACATAATCAACACACAGAATTTTGTGACATTTCTATACACTGATAATTATCAGAAAGATAAATTAAGAAAACAATCCCATTTACAACTGCATAAAAAAAAAAAATACCTAGGGATAAATTTAACCAAGGCAGTGAAAAATCTGTACACTGAAAATAATAAGACGATGAAAGAAACTGAAGGCACAATAAATGGATTTGAAGAATTCATATCATTAAAATGTCAACACTATCCAAAGCCATAAGCAAATTCAATGAAATCCCTATCAAAATTCCAATGGCATATTTCATAGAACTAGTACAAACAATTCTAAAATTTTTATGGAACTACAAAAGACCCTGAATAGCCAAAGCAATCATGAGAAGGAAAAACAAAGCAGGAGGTATCATACCCCCTGGTTTTAAACTATACTACAAAACTACAGTAAGCAAAACAGTATATGATATTGACACATATGATACCCAGACCAATGGAACAGAACTGAGGATCCAGAAATAAACTCATATATATGCAACTAATTTATGGCAAATGAGCCAAGAACATATAATAAAGAACAGTTTCTTTAATAAATGGTGTTGGAAAAATTGGACAGCCACGTGCAAAAAAATAAAACTAGATCACTATTTTACATTGTACATGAAAACTTACTCTAAGTGGATTAAAGACTTGAACAGAAGACCTGAAACCATAAAATTCCTGGAAGAATATATAGGCAGTAAGCACCTTAACATTGATCTTAGCAATGTTTTTGTGGCTCTCACTCCAAACAAAAGCTAAACAAAAACAAAAATAAACAAATGTGACTACATCTGCAAGTGATAAATCTGCAAAGATGTTAATATTTAAAATGTATTTAAAAATCACACAACTCAACAACAAAAGAAAACACCCCCTTAAAAAAATGGGCAGAAAATCGAATAGACATTTTTCTAAAGATAAACTGATAGCCAACAGACACAGAAAACATGTTCAATATCATTAATTATTAGGGAAATACAGTCAAAACCACAATGAGATATCACCTCACAACTATTAGAATGACTATTATTAAAAAAATACAAAATAACAAGTATTGGAGAGGATGTGGAGAAAAGGTTAACCCTCATAGGCTGTTGGTAAGACGGTAAATTGGAACAGGTACTATGCACACACACACAACAGTATGAAGATTCCACACACACACACAAAAAAAAAGAATAAAACTATATTATCCAGCTATTCTACTTCTATATATTTATCCTAAGAATATGAAAAAACTGTCCTTGCCTAAGTGAAGTGGTTCAGTGGTTAGAGTGTTGGCCTCTGCACTGAAAGGTCCCAGGTTTAATTCCCAGCCAAGGCCATCTACCTGGGTTGCAAGATTGATCCCCAGCCCTGGTTGGGGTTCAAACAAGAGGCAACCGATCAATATGTCTCTCACATCAGTGTCTCTGTCTTTACCCTCCCTTTCACTCTCCCTAAAAATCAATGAAAAAATATCCTCAAGTGGGGATTTAAAAAAGAAAACACTAATTTGAAAAGATAATATGCACCCCTATGCTTATCTCAGCATTATTTACAATAGCCAAGATATGGACAAAACCAAAGGGTCCACTCATGGATGAATGAATAAAGATGTCACATACACATAATACAGTACTATTAAGCCATAAAAGGGAATGAGATCTTGTCATTTGTGGTACTATGAATGGACCCTGATGGTATAATATAAGCAAAATAAGTCAGGAATGGACCCTGAAGGTATGATGTAAGCAAAATAAATCAGGAAGAGAAAGACAAATACCAAGTGACTTCACTCATGTGAAATCTCTTAGAAACCAAAACAACTGACCAACAACAACAAAAAAATACAAAATCTCATAGATACACATAACGTATTGGTGGCTGCACAGTGAGCAAAAGGAGGAAAGTGGTCAATTGTATGGTGATGATAGTAATAAGACTTTTACTAGTAGGGGTGATCACTTTGAAGTAGCTATAGATATCAAAATATAATGTTGTACAGCTGCAACTTATATAACAAGAAAAAAAATTAAAACAGCAAAACAAGAGCATGTCAGATGAGAAAACAACATGTATTGGGATGTGGAAGTAAGAATAAAGCTATGTGAAACTAGACATGGTTTACGACACATGCAAAAGAAAATGCTTGGTAGAATGAGGCCAGATTGTGGAAGGTCTTTGAAATCATAAAGAAAAGAAAGAAATATTGTGGAAACAATTAGGGTTTTGATGGGGAAATTATTTAGAATCTGGGCAAGGTAAATCTTGTATCAAAAAATTAATCAGCCGGAACTGGTTTGGCTCAGTGTATAGAGCATAGGCCTATAGACTAAAAGGTCCCAGGTTCGATTCTGGTCAAGGGCATGTACCTTGATTGCGGGCACATTCCCAGTAGGGGGTGTGCAAGAGACAACTGATCGATGATTCTCTCTCATCGATGTTTCTAACTCTCTGTCCCTCTCTCTTCCTCTTTGTAAAAAAATAAATAAAATATATATATATTTTTTTTAATTAATCAAATCTACCCACAAAATGACATCTGAAAATAAATCTAGATAAACATCAAGAAATTAATTATAATTTTAGATATACATTTATTCAATTGTATAAATTATAAATAATTTTGCGTGGCTCAGGGGTTAAGTGTTAACCTAGGAGCCAGGAGGTGACGGTTCAATTCCTGGCCAAGCCATATGCCTGGGTTGGGACACGATCCCCAGTGTAGGGTGTGCAGGAGAGAGCTGATTATTTTCTCTCATCAGTGATATCTTTCTTTCTCTCTCTCTCTCTCTCTCTCTCTCTCTCTCTCTCTCTCTCCTCTCTCTCTCTCACTCTCTCTCTCTCTCTCTTCCTCCTTCCCTCCCTCCCTCCCTCCCTCCCTCCCTCCCTCCCTCCCTCTCTGAAATCATAAGTAAATTATAAATAATTTATACCAAGACATTTCTTAAGTCTAAATATTTAGCAGCGTACATAATACACACTAGAATTTCTGCCAAAAAAATCATAGCTATTTACTGAGCAATTCATATCCACATGTATAATCTCCATCAATTCTTATAACAACCCTGCAAAGTCTATACTGTGATAAATTTTTTTTAAATGATTCTTAAAAAACTCAAATAACTTGCCCAAGTCAAACAGCAATGATAAGCAGCAGAATGAAAACTTAAGCCCAGGTGTGTTTAAAGCCAAAGTCTAAAATCCTCTTATCACTTGCTCAAAAGTAGGTATTTTTTAAAGATTGAACAAACTCTTTATAGAAGCCTTTATCTGGCAAGTAGTGGATCTGAAAGTGATGAAGCAACTACAGATCAGGTGTGTCTAGCTTGAAGATACTTATTTTTTCAGAAAACGTCCAAGGAACTATGAAAATCCATAGTACAGACTTAGAAATCTACATAAAGGAAATATCTGTTCTCAACAAAGCTCTACCAGATTATATAAAACTTACCTCAGTATATGATTTCTTGGTAATGTGAACATTCTTAGCTCTATAGGACTGACGTCTTCTTTTATAATCCCTCACTTCTGCCAAGATTTCAAGGTAAGACTTTGGACTTTTTCGACTGTTATCTAATAAAAAATAGAATTATTATATCATTAGAAAAATGTACATTCTTAAAAATTAACAGGAAGGAACATAACAATCATATTTTAACATGTTTCAAAATATGTTAAAAATATTCTAAAAATTCAGCATTATATAAATGGGCTAAGTTTTAGACCACTACTTTTCTCCAGTCATCAGTTGAACATAAGTGGTTAGGCACATAAATTACAGCAACAGCACAACTATAAGTAACATTCTCACAGAAGGATGCTTTGCTTAATGTAAAAATCAGAGAGCAAACTTTCACTACCGAATAAACATCTTTTATATGTGAACTTTAGGCCCGGTGCTTAAAATTTGGGTGTCCCTCAGCCCAACCTGCACCCTCACAATCTGGAACTGCTGGCTCCCAACTCCTCTCCTGCCTGCCTGTCTGATTGCCCCTAACTGCTTCTGCCTGCCAACCTGATCACCTCCTAACCATTCCCCTGCCACCCTAATCGACATCTAACTGCTCTTCTGATGGCCCGATTGCCCCAACTGCTCTCCCCTGCAGGCCTGGTCCTGCTGGAAAACAAATCAGTTTCACTAAAAAAGAGATGTTGACAGGAAGCCAGGATGGCTGGTCAACAACCTTATTTGCTCTAACCTTTAGTTGAGATATTGTTAGCTGAAGCAGAATCTGCCTTGTTTGTCCCAAGAAAGTTTCTGTTATTTCCTGCCTAAGGGCTATACGTAAATTTCTATTTATGTTGCCTAAGATGTTTTCCCCAAAGCCTCAATAAAAGGGGATGGCAGAGCCAGAGCAGGGAGTAGTTCTCCCACTAGAGTTGGACTACCGCCTGCCCCCCCATATAAACAAATTGAATTTCTTCAAGTCTCTTTTCGTTTGTGTGCAGCCCTTCTCCAGAAGCTGAACCCTGAATTGGAACTCTTTCTATGCGGGCCGTGAAAGAGAGTCCTACATGGTCCCTCCAACTGCCTTCCCCCTCCCCCACCATAGGCCCGGTCACCCCCAACTGCCCTCCCCTGCCAGCCATCTTGTGACCACAGGGGGGTGCCCCTCTTGTGTGAGGGCATGATGGTCAATTTGCATATTACCTCTTTATTACAAATTATCTTAATTACAACAAAGAATGGAATAACAATTGAGAAATATAAACTATGATATTCATCTCAAACCTTGATTGACTTTTGCAGCCAAGTCTACAAAGAGATCACTGTCATTTTCGATAATTTGGGAATCAGAGCGCTTTTTCTTTGTTTCCTCAATTACAAAATCATAGAGGGCAAGACGATCAGCTTGGGTCAGATCACAAACAAATCGTTTGTGATTCAGAGGAACTTCGACAGGTAAGGAAGAATAAATCCCTAAAAGTAAAAATAAAACCACAAAAATAAAAATAAATGAAGCATTGTGGACTTAAGATCTACTACTTATCTATAAACATGCACTATAGTAATGTAGTATGAAATAAAATTTTTTTCATAGTAATGCCTAAATTACAAAATATCAATCTATGTGACAAATGATAAATGACTTTATCCTGAATGCTACATTCACATACAGGATATATTGTGACTATACGCTCTTCTCTTCAACAATGTTAAAACAGATCCCATGAAGACAGGCAGTAATTATCATAAGACACTCACTGTTCATAAGAAAACCTTTTGGTAAACAATTTTTAAAAGGCTACCCATATTATAAAAGTAGATATTAACTTGCTTTCTGTGTATACGTTTTTTCCCATAAAAAGCTGGTGGAGAAGACTTTTAATAGGTAATACATATTGTAGTTACATTGAAAATAAATTATAGAAATATGAAAAATGTGTTTTAAAATGTCCTTTTTTATGAGATATCAAGCTACTCATCCCGAATTAAAAATATATCCCATTTATGTAATGACTCAGAGCTATGGACCAAAAACAATTAAGTAGCAGAAATCCCACACTTCCTCAGACCAGAGAAAGACAGGTTATAATGAGACTAAACTTGTTTTAATTTTCAGAAGAGGAAGCATATTGGCTTAACCAAGTTAACTGAAAAAAGTTAACAGCAGTGCCCCCACAACAGTTACAGAACTTTCTAAAATCTGCTCATTAATGAAAAAAATTAAATACAATACCTTGATATGATGTATTAAACTTTGAAGAAAAAAATTTGTTTTGAGAATCAAATTTTCTCAAAGAAATAAAAAATTATTGTAACTGTAAATAAAGCAATTTAAAATGATAGTCCCAGACTCATTATTCACTAATGCAAAGAACATGAGTTATCAAATAAACCCTTTTAATGTTTGGTAGGTTACCCTACTGTAATAACTCTGGTTCATAGAATAATATAAAATCAGTAGCTCTTCCCAGATACTTATATTTGATATTAGCTTTGTTGACTTCCTAAGTAAAGACGAAAATAAATAAATAAAAAGCATACTATAAACAAAGCATTGCAAGATTACACACACAAGATTACTTTCTATTTGTCTACAAATTAAGAGGATAGCTACACTGAATCTGAGTCTGTGGTCTAACAGCTATATGTAACTAAAATGTGCAAGTCAAAAGATTCTGAATTAGTGGGGAAGAAAGGTTTCTTTTGAAGTCAATCAATTTTACTCCACTTCTGATTGACACTAGGAAAAGCCCTTATGTGCAGCCAGATGTTAAAACATTTAATTATGTAATATAAAAAATGAGTTTGCTTTGATAAACCTAATTCCTTTGAATATAGGCTACAAAGTCTGGGAAAAAATTAGAAAAGATTAGAAAACACTAATATTCAGTCATGCTCCACTTAATGAGTGGAATATATTCTGAGAAATGTGTCATTAAGCAATTCCATCATTGTGGGACTATCACAGAGTATACAAACCTAGATGGTATATACTACTACACACCTAGGCTTTGTGGTATAGCCTATTGCTCCTAGGTTACAGGCCTGCACAGCATGTTATTATTGTACTAATACTGCAGGCAACTGTAACTCAATGGTATTTGTGTATCTAAATATAGCTAAACCTTAAAAAGGTAGATTAAAAATACTGTGTAAAAGATCAAGTATGTGCCGAAACCGGTTTGGCTCAATGGTAGAGCGTCGGTCTGCGGACTGAAAGGTCCCAGGTTCAATTCCAGTCAAAGGCATGTACACTGTGGGCACATCCCTGGTAGGAGGTGTGCAAGAGGCAGCTGGTCGACATTTCTCTCTCATCGACGTTTCTAGCTCTCTATCTCTCTCCCTCTCTCCTCTCTGTAAAATATCAATAAAATATATTTAAAAAAAAAAAAAAAGATCAAATATGTGTGGGCATGTGGCTTGAGGAGGTAGGGAAGGGTTGTGGAGGAAGAGAGAGTAGACATTAGGAGGAGGGAGGAAAGAAGGGATGAATAGAAGTGAAGGGGAGAGCAGAAGCAGATATCGAAAGAGACACAGATAAAACTTAAGATGAGAATAAAAGGGGGAGGACAGAAGAGGGAAAAAGAGAGAGAGCCCTTGACAGAAAGAGAAACAGAGACAGGGGGTAGAAATGGGACTGGGAGGAAAGAGACAAAGGAAAACAAACAAGAGAGAAGCGAATTTATGGGCTGTAGTATGTGTTAATGCATGTGCAGGGGTGGGTGTCGGGGTGAAGGCAAGGAGCTCCTGGGTTCCCCTCCTTCACCAACTCTAGGCCCCAGCCAGGGGCAGGGTGCAAGGCAAGGAGACAACATGCCGAGCCTCCTTGTCTATTTAAACGACCCAGAATTCGTAGTAAATTCAACATCCTGGTTGGGTCCATCCTTTTCTTTCAGTATCACAAACAAACTTACTTATACCCCATTATAATCTTATGAATCACCATGGTATATGCAGTTCTCTGCATACCAAAACATCATTATGGAGTGCATAACTGTGTTATAAACAAGCTCCACATAAATCTTTGCCTGTTATTTTCAAACAAAGAAATATAATTTCTTCTTTGAAATATATTGATTTTCTTTATTCATCTTAAATTTCTATATGAAGACTGATATTAAATTCCTTGAAAATTCAACTAAAATTCCAAATCAAAACTGTAATATTGTGACAGTAACTAAGATAAAGCTTAGAAATTTGAATGATACTTTTAAAAGGATATCATTTGCAAAAAGGATACTGCATATCTTTAAATAAGGAGTACATTCAGGTTCCTAATTCCTCTTTATACTCACCCCAATTACTGAAAAAGAAAAAGTACAGGAAAAGTTAAACAACAAACTGTATTCAAATCATTCAGAACATAGATATTTCTGACAAAAAAATAAAGGGTAAACACTTATATTAGCATACATTTCCATAAAATGTAAATTTTCTAACACAAGTTTCTATGCTTTAGAGTGCATTTCAATGTTCTGTAATCATACCAATTCTGTGAACTTTTACTTTTTTGTATAAAAATCTTTAATTGTGGTAAAACATACATAACATAAAATTTACCATTTTAGCATCTTTAAGTGTACAGTTCATTGGCATTAGTATATTCACACTGCTGTGCAACCATTACTTCTATCCATCTCCAGAGCTTTTCATCACCCTGAAGTGACACTCTAATCTACTTTTTAATAACACTAATTCTCAATTCTTCCTTGTTAGTCACTTTTGCCATCATAGGGCATCTTAAACATATGAGATACTATACTATTTAACAAGAGGTTCTGTTTCTGAGATACATATTTAGAATTTTAGAGAGAATTCAGAGTCAATTTCTTAACATTACAGATAAATTACAGTCCATAGAAGAAAATGACTTGCCAAAGTTTCACAAGTGGTAGGGACAGATTAGCTTTAGAACTACTCTGTTTCTATCTCTTTAGGGTTTGTTAGCCATAGTACCCTGATCTTTAAATTACAGCCATGACTTATACTAAAATCTGTGTATGCTCAAGTCCCTTATATAAAATGGTGTAGAACAATATATAGTCAGCCCTCCACATGCCTGGATTTCAACTGAGGATCAAAAATACTATTTTGGTATCCTCTTCAGATGCCAAATCCGTGGATGTAAAACCCACAAATACAGAGGACCAACCGTATTTATTGAAAGAAATCCACGTGTAAGTGGACCTATCAGTTCAAACCTATGTTGTTCAAGGATCAACTTATGCCATGAAATTCAAGTATAACAACTTGAATCTTTAATACAGAAGGAAAAAGATAAACCATTAAATATGAAGTGATTGTTTATGATTGAAATTAATATCTTGGTTATAAAGTTAACCAAAGTAACTACATCTAAAAATAAGGAAGTAGATATAATGGTTATTTAAGCTTTCAGAAAGATTAATGAATTGAGACCTAGTAAGACTGATAAAATGAAAACATAAATATATAACCTCACCAAAAAAACCTTAAAATTTAGTGAATAACAAAAAAATATTAATTACATGAAAAAATGTAAAATTGTTCATATTGGTTGTCTTCCTTCAAAATAAACACATAAAAAAAAAAAGATATTAAAGAGATTTTTGTCCCGGAATAAGATGTTTAGGTATAAGTAAACTACAAAAATAATCTCTGTTGAGGAAATGCAGAACTCTACACAAGATGAAAAATAGTTTTAAAAAGAGAGTTACAGATCATATAAAAATAGTTCTTAACAGTTAAATTTCAATTTAAGCTAGTGTAAAAATTCAAAATCAAGTAACACTTCCTTTTAATGTATGGAAAAAAGTATTCATTCAAAGTAATTATTTGTTTTTATAAAAAACTAAACTCCATGTCCAAATCTGCCTTATTACTTATATAAAAACCTCAGATTAGAAAATGATCTAGAAAATTACTCTTATATACATATATGAGTAATTACATATACACATATATAATTTTATATATAAAATTCTCACCCATTTCATCTTAATATTGCTTTCTATTGTTCTAAACATTAGGAGATAGTTTTATATCGAATATTACAGATAAGAAAGTAAAAATTCAGAAAAGCTGTTATTTGTACAAGGCCAAGCAACTGGTTTATTTCTTTAAAATATGCTTACCCAAAATATAATAAACAATGAAAAGTATTAATAGTAATATTATGTACAGATTTCAAGTTTGTGACTTTCTTTTAATTAATCATGATAGAAAAAATAAATAATGAATATATTTGAGCAATTACGTAGAATCCACAAATATCACTAAATGTTGAGTTTCTAACAGAATGCAGAATAATTCAGGGCAGTGGTTGTGCCAAAATTCAGAACTTGGCTCTAGATCCAGCTTTGCTATTATCTAGCAAAAGAGTGTCAATTCAGTTATGTGTGCCTCTACTTCTTCACCTACTATGGAGGGGGAAATACTAGTCCAACCTATCACAAATTTATTGTGAAGAAGTAATAAAATATATTAACAGGGCTTTGAAAAATAATCTCTTAAAAGTATTAAAGACCTTGAGAACAGACACCAGAATTTTATCATCTCTATCAGTCAGGGTTTGTTTCCTTATCAGTAAAAAGCAGACACTAGATTAGATGATCTCCAAGTTCTCTTTAAATTCTAATAAATTCAGTTAATCTATCTAACTAGGTAAGGTCAAATAAAGTCTTTTAACAATTAACCCCTCAAAAAAAATCCTCTACTTTTTAATTGGTTGATTAACAGGGGAAATGGGTAGAACCAATAATAGGGGTTCAGTAATTTCTTCAATAAGAGAAAGTCAAATGTCTCCCTCAAAGAGAAAAACCTGGAATTCAGCACAAAAGTACAAAAAAAACAGGAGCTTCAAAACAGGAAATACAAAGTGCTCCTGCTGTTAAAGGAAACAAGGTAATGCAGACTAAAGGTTAGGGACTTCCTCCTTGGAAGCCACTGGGCACTTAGGGAGATATCAAGCCCAGATATTGACTTAGAAAAATGGGCTAAGACCCTGAACTTAAGTTCAAGAAAGACAACAAACCATAATGGGCTGATGAATATAATTCAGAAGAGTGAGAAAAAAAGGTAAGATGTCTGGGGAAAGCTACGTTCAGAAACTTCAAAAAACTCCAATCCTTATAAAAAGAAGCCAGTCATGTTTAGCTTAGATGTTTTATCTAGGTTCAAACTCTATTATATCTATTTACTCCTTTACCTTCTATGTTTTTGATGGATTAAGTTTTCTTTTGATTTCCTAAAAACTCACACTTAAAATTCTAACCTAGTCTCTGCTATTATAAGCCCCAGAAAGAAACTCTTAAACCAGCTCCAAAACTGGGCATAAAAGGATCCACAAACCCTCTGAAATTGTAAGTAACAGTTTGTGTTTGCATTTTATTCTGAGGAGCAGCTGTGGGAACTAATCTCTTTTAACCTAAGCCTTTCCTTTTATGTTCATTTCAATATTATATTTAACAACGGGCTAATCCTCAAGAGAGGAAATCTTAGGGTAAAACAGTCTCACTAAATGGGATTTATTAACTAAATAATCCTAATTTAAAAAATGATCTATAAGGCAATCTAATCTATTAGGAAATTCCAAAGCATGAAGTCCTAGCTAAGACAGTGTCTTTATCAGACTTGTGTATTTGAGCAGAAAATATCTAACAAATTAAGCTAACACCAAGCACAATAGTCTAATATGTAAAACTTAAACCTTTCCCATATAATTGTTTTCACAAGATTTTTCTTAAAAATTAATAACATGTGTGCTTGTGGGAGAAAAATACTTTTACTCATTATTTAGCTCAAACTATGATGCCACTTACTTTGATTATAATAGTCATCATCTTTTCCAACTGCAGTTCTAGCTTGTTTAATTATCTGGGTTTGTGAGTCCTTATCTGTCAAAAAAAAAAATCCATAAACACAACTGAATCATCAGGGTCCACAATTAGATTATTAACTGGGTTCCAATTCACGTTTTTTAGACACACAAACCTTTAAAATCTTAAGAGAGGCAACACCCACAATCGCTGCCTAGATAATCTGAAAGCAGAAATTCTTTCAGATCTAGCTAGATCCCAGTAAGTAACCAGCATTCAGATGTGGTTCAAAAAACATAATCAGGCACAAAACAGTAGCCACTACGAATTTTAGCAACAAATAATATGTAACATTTCTTGAATCCCACTGTCAGGCACTATTCTAAGACTATGACATATATCATTTAATCTTCGTAAAAGTGCAAATACCCTGCCCTAGTTGGTTTGGCTCAGTGAATAGTGTGTCGGCCTGCAGACTGAAGGGTCCCAGGTTCAATTTCTTGGGTGGTGGGCTTGATTCCCAGTAGGGAGCATGCAGGAGGCAGACGATCAATGATTCTCTCTCATCATTGATGTTTCTCTCTCTCCCTCTCCCTTCCTCTCTGAAATCAATAAAAATATATTTTCAAAAAAGTACAAATATCGTCATCCCCATTTTATCAAGAAAATTAAGACAACAAACCTTGTTGAAAGTTACACATCTGTTAGTGACAAAACCAGGAGCTGAATCAGGGCCTTCTATTTTAGAACCCAAGATTTCAACTTCTTAGAACAGCAGTTCCCAACTGGTGGTCAACGGACCACTGGTGGTCAGTGAGGTCCCAAAGGTTGGCAACCGCTGTCTTGGAACACATTTCCATCTTCAGTCCTGTCTTCAAACTGTGGCCAGATTTTTGTTATAACTAACAAGAAAGGTGTCTGTCCTACTGTACAAAGCTTTCTAGGATTTGCACTATTAATATAACAGGCCTGGTCTCTAACTTTCAGATTACAAAACTAGTTTCACTATACATTAATCAATCCTATATCCTCTTAAGGTACAAATGTCCTTAATCATAAGTCCATTCTTTTGATAATTAAAAAATGAATTATTGCCGAGACCAGTTTGGCTCAGTGGATAGAGCGTCGGCCTGCGGACTGAAAGGTTCCGGGTTCATTCAGGTCAAGGGCATGTACCTTGGTTGCGGGCACATCCCCAGTAGGGAGAGTGCAAGAGGCAGCTGATCGATGATTCTCTCTCATGGATGTTTCTAATTCTCTATCCCTCTCTCTTCCTCTCTGTAAAAAATCAATAAAAATATATTTTTTTAAAATTTTTTTAAATGAATTATCAATATATACATATAGTAAGATATTTTAAAACAACTTACTATATATATATGTTTATTAAGTTAATACTTACTCAAAGTGATGGAAGGTATCTTCATATTCTCATAGAAAAACTCAGAATTATACATTTTATCCTAAACAGTAAAAAGAAAAACAAAAAAGTCAGTGTTTTTGAGAATCAGATGATTAGCTATTTTAAGATTTGATATAAACCAATAGATTAGTATCACTGAAATATCTCTTGCAATAATTTGTGAAATTAGGCTAGTACCATTCTGTCCCACAAATGACTATTATTTCATGTCAGAAAACCTCACCCTCTACTTCCATATATTGTGAATTTATTAATGCATGAATTATATGACACATGCATACCTCTTCTTCTTTGGTGTACCCAAGTTTCCTCAATCTACATGATACCATGTGCTTTGCTAAAGATGATTTAGGCATGTGATGATTGAAATCGTAAGGGCATATCACAACTTCATCCTATAAAAATCAAAGAGAATCAAATGAAAAAGGTACATAATATTTAAAGATTTAAATAATTATACTATTAAATGTTTACTGCTTTATTAAGTGGTACTATCCAGTTATGTCTTTTCTGCAGGCCTCTCCCAACAACCTGTCTGAGTGTATGTGCATATTAAAAACATTTTTAAAAGCCCCAGCAGGGTCATTCCATAGACAAAAAGATTGAGTGTTTGATTCCCAGTCACAGCACCTACCTAGGTTGCAGGTTTAATCCCCAGTTGGAAGTTGGTGTATGTATGGGAGGCAACCAGCCCAACCAATTCATTCTCTTCTCTCCTTTTCCTCCCCTCCCCCTCCCCTCCCCTCCCCTCCCCTTCTCTTCTCTCTCTCTCTCTTTCTCTCTCTCTCTTCCCCCTCCCTCCCCTTCTCCCTTTATCCTTTCTCCCTCCCCCTCTCTTCTTCTTTCCTTTCTCCTCTCTAAAATCAATAAACATATTTTTATAAGAATAAAAAATAAATTTTAAAAATTAAAAACCTTTCCCTATAGCCTTTGCCCCCTCTCCACCTCATCAAAGCCCAACTCAGAAAAACTTGCTCACATTCACTGCCTCAACAACCTCACCCATCAGTCAGTAGGTCAGTAACAACCTTCTGGCTATTAAAGCACATGTCATAGTCCTTAAAAATGTCTGAATGCTTCTTAGGTCACAATCCAATTGTCTATTTCTGTCATCCTTAAGCACTTTTCATGCTTCTGCTTCTCTGGTTCCTTCTACCTGGTGTCCTCTAAAGATGTCTTCCTTGTTCTACCTGTCCCCCTTTCTTTTCCCGCCTCCCCCAGAGAATTTATAAACCTGGGCTACACATATGTTTTCTTTTACTTAATTTCCAACTCCCAACCTCCACTTCTTTGGCAACTATCAGCTAGTTCTCTATGTTTATGTTCTGTTTGGCTTATTCATTTGTTTCGGTTTTTTTAGATTCCACATTTAAGAGAAATCAGAGGGTACTTATCTTTCTCTGTGTGAATTATTTCACGTAGCACAATTTCTTCAAGGTCCATCCATGTTGTCACAAGTGGCAGGATTTTTTCTTTTTTTATTGCTGAATAATACTCCATTGTGCATATGTACTACTCACTACCTGTCCCCCTTTCTATGTTGGCGTTTCATGTAGGTCTAATCAGCGGCCTTTGCCATTTGATACAAAGTTACTAAAAGAACTCATGGCTTCAACTTTTCACTATATAGGGGTGACTCCCAAAATCTATAGCTAATTTAGACCTTGTTTCTCTCTTGAGCACTTTACACTAAAGACTTAACTAAAATTACAACATGACCAAAAATAAATTCATTATATTCATGGTTTCCTGATCCCAAATCTGTTCATCTTGTGTTTTCCTATTTCAATAAAAAGGTGCTACTTGCTCTTCTCCCCTATCATCCACATCTTATCAATCACCCATCTATCCTTTTTACTCCTAAATAATTCTGAAATCCCTCCACATAATCCATCCATAGTACCACTACCTCAACTCAGGATATCATGGATTACAAGAGCCATTATCTAACTACCTGCTCCACTTGCAGTCATTTTATTTTATTTTATTACTTTTTTACTGAATTTATTTGGGTGACATTGGTTAATAAAATGATATACCTTTCAAGTGTACAATTCTGTAATATATCATGTATTATGTGTTCACCACAAGTCAAGTCTCCTTCCATTACCCTTTATCTCTCCTAAACCCTCTTCCGCCTCCCCACACCGCCCTCTGCTTCCAGTCTTATTAGCCATTCCATTCTTCACACTGTAGCTAGTTTGAATCCCAGGTCTGCCATTTACTGACTGTATTGTTACTGTCTTAAGTTACTGGATTAAGATACCTTTTTTTGCTTGTTTCCTCATCTATAAATTGGGTATTATATAGCAGGACCTCTCTCACAAAGCTACTGTGAAGATTAAGTTATACATGAGTTTATATATATACACAGCAATTCAAAAAGGGCCTAGTACATAGCAAGTGTTCAATAAATGGAAGCAATTAATATTAAAAGATAGGTATTATTATATACCCCGACTTAAAATGCTTCCCTGCCTCCCCCATTGCCCTCATGTGTATAGGTTCTTTGAAATGGCTGACCCAGAACCCATAAGACCTCGCTCGCCCTTACCCACCATCCTTAGAACTCTCCTTCCTGCCACACCTTTTAAAAATCACAACTGGTGCCGAGGCCGGTTTGGCTCAGTGGATAGAGCGTCAGCCTGCGGACTGAAAGGTCCCGGGTTCAATTCCTGTCAAGGGCATGTACCTTGGTTGCAGGCGCATCCCCAGTAGGGGGTGTGCAAGAGGCAGCTGATCGATGATTCTCTCTCATAGATGTTTCTAACTCTCGATTCCTCTCTCTTCCTCTCTGTAAAAAAATCAATAAAATATGTAAAAATAAATAAAATAAAACTCACAACTGGTCACTAATACACTTGCCTTCTCAAAACAATTGTAATGTTCAGCAGGGCTGCTGGTCACCCTCCCTTGGTGATGCTCCCCGGTCGGAAGTGGACAGTTTGGGGCGGAGAAAGGTGAACTGAGCTCCCAGCTCCGGCGGCTCGGCACCTGCTGCCACTGCGGCATCCGGGTGACAGAGGACAAAGCAAAGCGCCGACACCGGGGCAGCGGCGCTCGGAGGCCCATTCACTGGTTTTCTAAACCGTCAGCAGACCTGCCATTCCCTCCTCACCCACAGCACTTTCACCATTTCCTCAAACCCGAAGATCCAGGAGGTGCGCCGCTCCGAGCTCGTCCCGGGGCCCAAGCGGCCGGCGCCGGGCGGGGCTCCCGCGCCCTCCCCCCGCCGCCCCGCGTGGACGCGGCCGCGGCCGCCAGAGAACCGCAGGGTCGGGGCGCCCAGGGCCCGCACCCCTCACCTCGGCCGCCGCCTCCTCCCCGGGGTCCAGCAGATCCAGGCTCCAGCCCAGGGACGACGTCACCTCCTCCAGCGTCCGCCCGCAGCTCTCCACGAAGCCGGCCAGATCCTCCTGCAGCCGCCGCCGCTCCTCCACCGGGGGAGGCTCGCCCGCCATGGCCGCAACCGCCGCCAACGGAAAGCCGCCGGCGCGCGCGGGCTTCTGGGAGCTGTGGGCGGGGCCGCCCGCCACGTGACCAGGCCCGCCTCCCGGGACGGGCCAGAGGAGCGCCGGAGCTGTCACCGTGGGAGGTGTTTTCCTGCCTCTCCCCAATGTCGCTGCTTTAGCAACTTCTCCTGGATGCATTTGCTCCGGGCCTTCCCTGAACGGCATGACCATCCCCATGTACTTTTTTTTTTTTTTTAAAGCGTTTATATCTAAAGTACAATTTAAAGAATAGTACAGAGACCATTCGCGTAGCTCTCATCTCCTTCACTGTTACCGTTTGGCCACGTTTGCTTTCTCCCACTCCATCTACACAGACCCACACACTATTTTTGCTGAATTATTTGAAAGTAACTTGCAGATACTTCACCCCCAAAATGTCCGTACGGATCTTTTAAGAATGAGGATATTTTGCTTTCATAACCACAATAAATGATCAAATCTAAGAAAAAGAATCATTCCAAATATCTAATATACAGTTCATATTCAAATTTCCACAGTTGTCCCCCAAATTCCTTTTAAAACCGTCTTATTTTTTCCAACTCATGACCTACAATTGGTTATTGTCTCTTGTACTTTACTCTCCTTTTTACTCTAGTCCCCTACTCTCCTTTTTAAATTGAACCAGTGAATTTTGTCAGGAGCCTCAGCCACTTGTCTTATAGAATGTCCTCCTCTCTGGATTTGTCCGATTTTTTTTTTTTTTCCTTTATGAGTGGATTCAGTTTCAGCATTGTTGCAAGGGGATGGGGATACCTCTTTGTTACACCTCATAAGACACATATTTTAGATTCTCAGTAATGCAAAATTTGATCACTTAGTAAAGATGATGGCTATATCTCTCCATTTTAATAGTACATTTCTTCTAGGTAATTGGTAATCTGTGGGATACATTATGCCATATGAATGTCCTGTACTCGAACAAACTCACACAATCCTTCACTGAATCTCATTATGTTAGGAATTATGGTTCTTTTTTAAACATTTTTTATTTGTTTCTAGAGAGGAATAGAGGAGGAAAAACATCCATGTGAGATATGGATTGGCTGCCTACCACACATGCCACCTGGGCATGTGCCCCGCCTAGAAACAACGGGCAACCTTTCTGTAATGCGCAGAATTATGCCCAACGAACTGAGCCACACCAGCCAGGGCTTATGATAAGTCTTTACTGCTATTATGGCTTCTACATGTATTAGCTAGCATTCTTACCACACCTTCACTTTGTTTCACTGTGGAACCAAGGTTGTGGTTTTATTTTAATTATTATTATTATTGAGTTATTAATGGTAAATTCTTTTTAAAGTCATTATTACTATTCTATTACCATCATAATTCTTGTTGATGCTCAAATTGTTTCAAATTTGACCTGTGGGAACTATTTTAAACCAGCCCATGTCTGTTTGATATGTTCCCATGAGTCCTTCCTTACATTGACTAATTCAAGTTTACTTTTTACACTTCCTTCCCAAGAACTGGAATCAGTGTCTGTAGATGGTTTTAACTCCTAGAATCTACTCCTTCTTGTATTATTTATTTTATTCAAGCCTGATGCCAAATCTTTGGTTCCCTTGGCATTTGTATGCACCAGATAAAGAAACAAATATGAAGGAAATTTTTTGTGAACAGCTGTTTCCAAAGACAAATAGCACAATTTTCTCACCTACAGAAAAATGGTGATGAGTATAAAAAGGCAGTACCAGAAAATACAGAAATAATCCAATAGCGGCTAGCAGATGTGGGGGAAGAGATGAGTTCTAGAAGAGTTTATTCACTCTGCCCACAGCATCTTTACTTTTTCTTTTAATATATTTTATTGATTTTTTACAGAGAGGAAGAAAGATGGATAGAGTTAGAAACATCGATGAGAATCATCCATCAGCTGCCTCTTGTACACCCCCTACTGGGGATGTGCCTGCAACCAAAGTATGGAACCTGGGATCTTTCAGTCGGTTTCGGCCATCTTTCCTTTTTATTCACATTTAGAGTTAGCCCAGCAACCTAGAACATGTTAGACTATTTGAATGTGAGGTGATTTTCACTGAAAATTTATATATTTCCCTTTTCAGTGGGTGCACTGTGTATCTTAACCAAATCAAAAGTTAATGCAGGTCAAGAATATTCTCTCTCCCAGGACACAGGTCCTATTTCATTTTAGAGCAACTCGACGTGGCTACACTGTTTTGGAATTGTTTTACATTGATGCTTCTTAGTTTATTTAATCATTTTCTAGAGTAGTCTCTTGCCCTATTCTAGTTTAGGCCTCTGTAATGGGCTGAATTGTGTCATCTTCCCACCTCCCAAAAAATGCTGTCTAATCCCTAACCCCAATATGACTATACTATAGGTCCAGTGCATGAAATTCATTTATGGGGATGTGTGTCCCTCAGCCCAGCCTGCACCCTCTCCAATCTGGGATCCCTCTCACAATCCAGAACTATTGGCTCCCAATTGCTCGCCTGCCTGCCTTCCTGATTGCCCCCAACTGCTTCTGCCTGCCAGCCTGATCACCCCCAAACCACTTCCATGCCAGCCTGATTGATGTCTAACTGCTCCCCTGCCAGCCTGTTTGCTTCTAACTGCCCTTCCCTGCAGGCCTGGTCACCCCTAACTGCCTTCCCCTGCAGGCTTGATCGCCCCCTACTGCCCTCTCTTGCAAGCCTGGTCCTGCCCAACTGCCCTCCCCTGCAGGCCTGGTCTCCGCCAAATGTTCTACCCTGAAGGCCTGAGTCTCCCCCAACTGCCCTTCCCTACAGGCCCAGTCACCCTCAACTTCCCTCCTCTGTCAGCCTGGTTACCCCTAACTGCCCTCCCCTGCAGGCTTGATCGCCCCCAACTGCCCTCCCTTGCAAGCCTGGTCCCTTCCAACTGCCCATCCCTGATGGCCTGATCACCCACAACCACCCTCCCTTGCAGACCTGGTCCCTCTCAACTCCCCTCCCCTACTGGCAGCCATCTTGTGTCCACATGGGGTAGCCATCTTGTGTGTTGGAGTGATGGTCAATTTGAATAGTACCCTTTTACTAGATAGGATTTGAAGATAGGGCCTTTAAAAGAGGTAATTACGGTTAAAGGGGGGGGGGTAAATGAGATTATAGAGTGGGGCCCTAATGTTATAGGACTAGTATCCTTAAAAAGATTAGGAAGAAACACCAAAGTTCTCTCCATACCCATCACTGCCTACAAGCCTGAAAGAACTGTCACTGGAAACCAATCCTGGGCTGCAATTGAATCTTTGAATTTTACCTTCCAGAACTATGAGAAAATAAATTTAAGCCACCCCATCTGGGGTATCATATTATGGCAGCCCAAGATAGCACAGCCTTATAGCATTAGGTATATTTACTTCCCCCAACATTTATCATATTTTTTTTTTTCCTTTTCACATTATAAGGACTATTTTTTTTTTTTTTTTTTACCAGAGATTCCTACTATGAGATCTACAGTTTCTGGCACAATGTGAACTCAACATTTGGTGAATGAAACTAATTACAAATCTTCAAGATTGGGAGGGGGGCAAGGGCAAAAAAAGAGGGAAGACATGAGTGCTGTTTTCACCCCAAGTACCAAAGCCCCAATAATTTAAGTATTATCTTAAGTATGATCAATTAGCACTTAACTTGCTTTCCTATTTTCTCTCTGCACTATAAAATGTTTGATTGTATTAACATACTAGAGGCTCAATGCACAAAATTCCCCTAGCTGCCCACACCAGCTTCCTTCTGGGGCCCGGGACCTGGGCTTCCCTCACAGCCCCATCTTCGTCTGGAAGGTCGTCAGAAAGAACATCTGATCTAATTAGCATGTTATGCTTTGATTATTATAGATACTAGTGATATATGCAAGTTCTCCATTGACTGCGTTATGTGTGCCTTCTGTCCCCATCCAGGCTTCAAAGGCCTGTAGTCTGGGGTCTTCTAAATTCTACAGAATCCGCATAGTACCTAGAATATCAGACACAAAGTAGATATTCAGTAAAGTCATGTTAATTTAATGACAAACGTCTGAATTTTAAGTTTCTCTTTGATCAAAAGAATAAGCTTCTCATTGTCCTTCAACAGAAAGCCAAGAACTTTTCAGAAACTATTTTCATAGATTCAAGGACAATTCTTTTATGGGACAAAATGAAATACCCAAATGAGAATCTTGGCCACCTCATGTTTTTTAAATGTTATGATGATGACTTTTGCCCATGCTACTTGGTATTCATTGTCCAGAATAAAATAGAACTGAGTATTGACCTCTCTCTAGCCTGGCTTCTACAAAGGCTTATTTCTAAGGACATTTGAAAAAAAACTAACTTTAAAGACCAAATTCTAACATGAATTCAGAATGAAAATAGTTTTTAAGTAGTCTTTCTTAATATGTATTTTGAAATCAGATGATTTTAAACATATTTCAAAAAGCTACTGCTAAATGCCCTTGTGTATATAAACATGCTGTTAAATCAAAACACAAAAATTTAAAAGTCCAAAAGTTTATTGCCAGAACAGCAAACTTCATAGACATCTTTTTAAAGTACATTGAAAATGACAAGCAGAATAAACAGAAAACTTTGACCAAAGAAAAGCAAAGATTGCTGCTATCATGCACATAGTCAAATTAATACCAAACCAGATACATAAGAGTATATGGGTCATACAATACACATTCTAAAACTAAAAGGAGACTCATTCCAAAATGCTTAGTTTTGGGTGGGTTTTCTTGGGTGGGTTTTTCTTGGGGAGGGATACTGTCTACCAATACAGAAAATGGGAATATTTAGATGAGAAACAAAATGACTAAAATATTAATAATCAATTTAATTTTCATCTCCAACAGAAATCTGTATCATAGGCCAAAAAACACTCAAGAAGAATGGATCAAAAATCTAAACACAGAAGAGAAGAAATTCTAAGTTCAATTTGTGCTATCCTTACAACTGATTACCACTTCATATACACTACATTCAG